CCCCCCCCCCCCCCCCCCCCCTGGTACCTGCCAGGTGATCGCGGCACAAGCGTTGTTGAACGTAGCGGAGTCCGTAGGGATGGATCGCTCGGAAAAGCCGGGAACGAGCGCGCCCGATGGCAGCGCCACCGAAGTCCCTCCCGCCCCCGCGGGAATCCCGTCCAGCGATGCACCACCGCCAGCGGACGATGACGTACCCCCGCCGAGCATCCAGGAGTGATGGAGTGGTTTGATTGGGTGGTGGGAAGAGGGGCGTTGGATGTTGGTGTGCGATGCGCGCGCGGGGCTTGTATTTTGCGGCGGGTCGTCGCGAGAGGGATAGATGGAGTGGCTGGAGGGTCGATGTAAGGTAGGTTTTGGGCGGCCGTATACAGCAAACTGCTGTCTATGCTTTGTATGTCGTCCTCTCACGGAAGGAGGTTGGACCGTTTCCTTTTGTTTTGTCGATGTGCCGGTCCAACCCCCCCCCTGTCTCATGAATTGTTCGGAGCGGTGGGGTCGAGTGAGTTGATGGCAGCACCGCCACCGCACCAGCAGCAGGAGGAGAACGACGACACACGATGGCCACGATATTTCGAGGCGGTGATGGTGGTGGTGGCAGGCAAAGACAGGAACTGCGTCGGGGGGCATTTTTTGCGTGCTTTGTTTTTCGTGGCAGCGCTTTTTCAAGCCTTTTGTTTGAGGCGGGGCTGGAGGGGCTTGGCTTTGGGCCTGCCCTACGACTGATCTTGTCGTTGCGAGCGAACAAAAGCGGGGCCGGGCGATTGCGCTGGTTGGATCGCGTTTGGGCCGGCAAGTAGCTTGTTCAAGAACAGTCGGTCAGGTTGGGTTTGATTACGTAAGTTGGTCAAGTTAGACAATAATTCGGTCTGGATTTGGCCGGGTATTTCACCCCCAGGTAAATCCGAGTGTCTGTCGCTTCTCGATGTGTGATGTAGCGGCGGTAGATGTTTGTTATGTCGTCGTATGCAAAGGGGTGTTTTTTTTCGGCACCTCTTTCCTTTTCGTCGTCCTTCCCCCTTCGATTTTTTGTAGATCCTGCCATCGATCACGAGCGACAAGAGACTCTACAACGTTTTGGGTGGGAGAGAAGTCTTTGAGCTGGGTCGAGCCGGGGGGTGACGGGGGCATCGGCTAAGCGCGCGGGGTGGGGCACAAAGGGAGGGATTGTCATTTCACCCCTGCTTTGTAACCTTTGAAAATTTGATGGCAAGAATAGGTGCTTCTGCTGCTGTCTCACTGATACATTCCCCCCGGAATCGTGAGACGCGTAGCACAAAAAAGTGAGAGTGAGAGTGAGCGTGAGAGAGTGAGAGACAGGCAAGTGGTATGCTACAATAAGCATAGCGGCATCTAATAGTAGTCTAAGGGGTTTCTTAATTGTACGCTTGGGGCCTGCCTCCAAAGCCCTCTCTTCGCTCTTTCTCTCTTGGTCGTTTTGAGTTGCCACAAAATGAGAGCGGGATGCAATCACTCACAACCGTGTGTGTACAGGAGGGGGACAAGCCAGAGAAAAAAAACGTGCCGCGATATCGCAGGCGAAACGGATGTGTCAATGACTTGGCTCAGGAGATGGTGCTTGGCTTAGCCGAGTGTTGATTGCTGCCCTCGTGATTTTGGTTTTTACTGATGTGTGCCTTGTCCATGAGACCCCCCATCCCCCCCCTGGCGTATCCAGTATTCGGTCTGAAAATTCTTTGATGTCGCTGGCTATCTATGTGGGGTGGGGGCAGGCATTCGTGTAGCTGTAGACTAGTTTCTGTCAGCCGTGTATGATAGCAGTTTTTGTGATGGTTTTTTATTTTTTTTGTTTCTTCTGCATGTACGCATGCATACATCCAAACCTTTCGGGAAGAGACGAAGTCACCTGCTCGACCTCCATCTTCTGCGCTTTTTTCGTTGCTCGTGCTTCACTTCAACGCACGGAGTACCTGACTGAGCCCACACGGATTGGGCGGGCGTGATGTCCTTTTTTTCTCTCCCTTTCCCTCCCTTTTCTTGCCTCTAGATGGAAAACGGAGAGCAGTCGTCCTGCTGTGTGTGTCTTAATTATTAGCATCGACCGCGCTAACGGCGGCTGACCAATGAAAAGACGCCAATCCTGCGTGTGAGTGAATGTATCCCCCCCGCCCCCCCCCCTTCTTCTGTGTTCGCTTTCCTTTTTTTTTTTGGCACCTCGCGGGGCGGAAGATAAAAGCCAAGCGTATAGAATGTACATCCAATATTTAGGAAAGCATTGACACTCACTTTTTTGCACGAGCGGGCCAATCACACAGCGGCAGCAGCAGCAGCAGCAGCAGCAGCAGCGGTAGTGACGAGACAGCAGACGAACGAAACGCTTCTTCCTTTCTCACATGCCTTGTTAGACTGTCGACTATTTTTCTTCAGTACAGTACATGGCTGTTTTTGCATGATGACTCGGTAATTTCTTGCTGCTTGTTGATGTGTTCGGATGCCGTGGGGCGGGGGAGAGGCCGCGGGACCCTCCTCTGTAACTCCTTGCTGCGAATGAAGCGCGTGTGGGTGAGCGTGTTTGATGAAAGGGACTCTCGGAAAAAAAGGAAAACAGAAGGCTTTTGTGTCAGATCCGGTGCAAATGAGGTATTGTAGTAAGCACTGGATGTGAGATGCACGATATTCATACATACGGTACGTCGAGGCATGTGAGAGCACGGGGTGGACGTCACCTCTGTCAAAAATGTGCGGAGGAACCGTTTCTTGAAACGTGGTGTGCGGCGAGAGTCTTCGTCGTAAAGTTGAGCTCGGCTTAGTTGGCGTGTCGACGAGTGGGTCCAATTTGAGTTTGTCTACACGCTCAAATGATGTGATGTGATGATGCCGCGTGTGCAAGACGTTGGACAGCAGTATGCGAGTAGAGGTGAAATGCGCGTAGCGAACAACAACGAAGAAGGCCCCATCATTCGCTTTCGTTTTTTGTTGCAATTCGAAGACGATGTCATGCCTCGTACAGCAGTAGACTTTTCCTTTTTTCCCCCTAACAACACTTGAGAAGTTGTTGCGGGTGTTTGTACCCCCCAACTCACATCCCGGACACCTTAGCAGGATGCAGCGCACCCTCCATGCGACTCGCCGAATACCTCTCGGCGCTTCATGCTTGACGGGTGAGAGCCTGGTCTGATAAGAACCCGGCGTGCCCCGTCCCAGCTTGGTAGGGATGCGAGGTCAAGCGATAGCATGCACGACTATGATGAGAAGTACACGCAACTCACATCACGCAGTCACGCGCGGTGGGGATCACGCTGGACGTACCTTAACCTGGGAAGTTCAACCTCTAAACGCGCTTCTTTTTGCACATGCATGCACCACACGCAGCAGGACAAGCACTCTTTGCGTTGGGGTGGCTGGCCCTTGTCTTCCTGCCTCCTACCCGCCCCCTCCAAGCCCACCCCGTGATGTTAAGGGGATCCATTCGTCCGCGTAAGGATGGCGTTTCTCACTTCCGCGCTTTTGTGTGTCCTGATTCAAGACTGCTACCGGCTCTCTTATTTGGTCAACCGGTTAGCGCGGTCAATTGATCGTCAGTCAAGACTGACTATGTTCAGACGGACGCGTGTCTGTCTGCACTCGCTTCCAAGATGCATCATCATCCGCTTCACTGCATCTCATGTCAAAGGGCAGGGAAGACAGATATCGTTTGGAGAACGAAAGATGAGCACGCATTCATCGCTGTTTACTTATCGGAGAGCAATCAACGCGTTCTCCTCTCTTCTTGCCAGGACCTTAGGCCTCCTTGTACTATGATATCTGCACACGTGCCCATGTACTCCAGGTCGTCTTCTTCACCTACTCAAAAAAAGGAGCTGCCTAGTGCAGAAGTGCCCCAGAGTGCGTAGTGCTGCAGGCATGCCATACTCTGCAATGCATGACGAAAACATGTCCTTCAAAATGGGCCTTGCGTGTCTACCATGTACTACTACTGCACGATGCTCCAGAAATGAGTAAAACTGTCAGATCAATGTTGAGGGTCGGGAGGGGGGGGGGGGCAGCTGCAAAGATGTCTAGAAACAGCAACACGACGCTACCGACGCGATGCCTTGTCCCCCTTCAACTCGTGTCTCTCCGATACTTTCCATACCTACAGTAGATATCTCGATGCACGCATCACGCACGCCGAGCCGACCGGAGCTGAACAAAACAGTCCTTTCTTTTTCAACCCCTCCCTTCCTCGTCCACCCCACCCTCGACCTCCCTCCCTTTCGCTGTACCCTCCGCGAATTATCGTCGCACAATGTTGTGCGGACAGAAGAGCTCGCCCAATGAGTGATCGGTGGCCGCTAGAACAAGTGTCCCTTGCACCGAATCACATTGCGATTGCTGTGGGGGGGGGGTTCCTTCAAGAACAAGACGACCTCGTGGGCAAGTTCAAGCATGCTTACCTTGCTCGCGCCAAAAACATCCAAAATTGTAGAATGTTCACATGCAGGCATTCTCTGCCGCCAAAAAAAAGACCTCCAACGAGATCATGTTTCACGACAAACGAGTACACCATACACCAATCCCCCCCCCCTACACCCTCTTCCCTCTCTTTACTGAGAGGCCAACCCAACGCCAAAATCGTCCGCGTCTCCGGGTACATGTATGAACACACGGATACAACCCATAACACGGGCGCGCGCCGGGGGGGATCTACATCTCACAAAGATGAAAGAACAGGTGGGGAGAGAGGCGGGGGCGATGACACGGGCGCGCACGAGCGCGGCTGGGCGGGGGATGAACCCATCTACACTGCTTTCTTACATCGCACAGAAAAAAAACTTCGAGTACATACGAACCATTGGTCGGGAGCGGCGGGGGTGGTGGTGTACGGGGGGGTGGATTACACCGGTCAAACAATCCGCGATAGGGTACATGCAGCTTGACGTCCCCGTGCCCGTCCGTGCCCGTCGCACAATGGGGTCTTTGGCGCAGCATGTCAGCACCAAAGACGTGCGTCGGAGAGAAAACCATTGCTGTACTTGGCACAGGTGGCAAACCACAAATAAACTGCTTCGCTCACCGCATCGCCGTTTGACACCTGATACGGGGTTCGTATTTCAACGCGCGCGGGAAGGTGGGGGAGGGGGGCGAGTCGGCGCAAAACAAACCGGAACCCAGCCGATTCGCACGCGTTCATCAGTAGCGGTCTTCTGCAATTAATCTCGTTGAAGTTCGACAACATAGACGTGCGCAAGCTCGAGGCTACGTGCCGCAGATAGAGGGAGACAAGAGGGTGAATGAAGCTCGCAGAAAGCCATTCCATACCTCAAGGTGCAGCACCTCGTACGTACTATTTTTTCAATACTCTCGAAGCCTTCAAGGCATTTTCAAGTTGTGGCCTTCGCTGTGCGGGCAAACGTTCAAGAGACGTACAGTATCTCCCTCGACCCATTTTCAGAGCTCGGTCGTTTGTTCCAGAACAACGAGGGTACCAGTTCCGCATGGGGCTGTCTCGTTGTCATTGTCTCCACATTTAAAACACACATTCTGCACCCAGCCCAGCACCCGTTCTGGTCCAAATGACGTGGACGAGTTCCCTGATCACAGGCCGACAACACCCCAGGCCGAGCACACACATTGCAAAAACAAACCACCAGCGAAGAAAGTGAGGTGCGATATCTCTCGGACAGTCAGATTACCACGGCATAAACAGACAAGGTGATGATGCGAATTTACAGCCCGTCGCACCTTTTGCTGTTGGGCGCTATCATCATCTTCTGCCCTCACGCAGCGACACTGACTTCTTCACGACTCCACGGCGACGAAAGCAGCCCGGTCACAGGCGCCCCGCCCTTGACTTCACGGCTCCACGGAGAGGACAGCATCCCCGCCACAGGCACGCCGCCGTCGCGGACCCAAGGCGAAGACAACATCCCTCCCCAGGGCGCCCAGCCGGTGAGGTCACGGATCCACGGAGAAGACAGCATTCCCGCCACAGGCGCGCCGCCGTTGACGTCGCGAGTCCACGGGGAAGATAACAGCCCTGTCACAGGTGGGCCGCCATTGAGGTCACGGCTCCAAGCCTTGGAAAGCATCCCGCCGTCAGTATCATCGCTGCGAGTCCAAGCCTCGGACAACATGCCGCCTTCAGCATCGTCCGTACGAGTCCAAGCCTTCGACAGCATCCCGCCTTCAGCATCGTCCGTACGAGTCCAAGCCTTGGATAACATTGCGCCTTCAGCATCGTCCGTACGAGTCCAAGCCTTTGACAACATCCCGCCTTCAGCATCATCGCTGCGAGTCCAAGCCTTGGACAACATCCCGCCTTCAGCATCGTCCGTACGAGTCCAAGCCTTGGACAACATCCCGCCTTCAGCATCATCGCTGCGAGTCCAAGCCTTGGACAACATCCCGCCTTCTGCATCATCGCTGCGAGTCCAAGCCTTCGACAGCATCCTGCCTCCTGAATCATCGCTGCGAGTCCAAGCCTTTGAAAGCATTCCGCCTTCAGCATCGTCCGTGCGAGTCCAAGCCTTGGACAACATCCCGCCTTCAGCATCGTCCGTGCGAGTCCAAGCCTTGGACAACATCCCGCCTTCAGCATCGTCCGTACGAGTCCAAGCCTTGGACAACATCCCGCCTTCAGCATCATCGCTGCGAGTCCAAGCCTTGGACAACATCCCGCCTTCTGCATCATCGCTGCGAGTCCAAGCCTTCGACAGCATCCTGCCTCCTGAATCATCGCTGCGAGTCCAAGCCTTTGAAAGCATTCCGCCTTCAGCATCGTCCGTGCGAGTCCAAGCCTTGGACAACATCCCGCCTTCAGCATCGTCCGTGCGAGTCCAAGCCTTGGACAACATCCCGCCTTCAGCATCGTCCGTACGAGTCCAAGCCTTGGACAACATCCCGCCTTCAGCATCATCGCTGCGAGTCCAAGCCTTGGACAACATCCCGCCTTCTGCATCATCGCTGCGAGTCCAAGCCTTCGACAGCATCCTGCCTCCTGAATCATCGCTGCGAGTCCAAGCCTTTGAAAGCATTCCGCCTTCAGCATCGTCCGTGCGAGTCCAAGCCTTGGACAACATCCCGCCTTCAGCATCGTCCGTGCGAGTCCAAGCCTTGGACAACATCCCGCCTTCAGCATCGTCCGTACGAGTCCAAGCCTTGGACAACATCCCGCCTTCAGCATCATCGCTGCGAGTCCAAGCCTTCGACAGCATCTCACTTTGTACTCCATTAGTCCGGGTCCACGGGGCGTCAGAAAGCATACACTGTTACGAAACAACGATGATAAGAGCGCGTTTTCCGTCAATCGTTTTGTTTCTTCTGCCGTAGACCTTGCGGCTTGTCTGTATCAACCTGCCTATTTAGTGCAAGCACATGCGCATGCGTGGAACAGGGCCGGGACGATTCACCAAGGGACCCCGCAACGCGCTGAATGGATTGACTCTAGGAGGAACATCTCAGGAACAGTATACAGGCTGAAGTTCTGTCGCGATGGAAAATGGTGGCCTCCTACAGGAAGGATCGCAGCAAGCTCTTCGGTTGGAAAGGCGCGGCCGTCATGTACGCATGCATACATCGGATGAGCGAAAAATGAAAAGCGGCAAGCAACGTGTTATTGGGGTGTCCGTCCCACGTGCTCTTGAGCCAGTTCCCACACACTTTCCGTGTTTGGCGTATCATGGGGGGTCACGCTCATACGTGGAGCTTTCTGATATTGTCGTTTTGTGATTTTGTTCTAAGCCTTTCCTGCCTTCGGTGCTTGCTCATGTACATTCCTTTCTTCCCCTCGCTGCCTCGGCAAGGTTTTGCGTAGGCATGACCCATAGGGAAGGGGGGGGTCTTTCTAGCGAGCAGGGCTAGACTCACCCTCAAGGGACCGATACCTTCTTGCTGCGGCGCACCCGCCGCGAGGCGTGCGTAGTGGTGGAGTTGGGTCGGCACTGGTGCGTCAGGTACAAAGGTGCAGATGCGCGGGCCTCCAGGCCGTCGGTGTAGGCAGCAATGCCCATCTCATCTTTGTGCGCGGAGGCAGACGTCATCAGAAAGGTGGACGGGCACTATGTACACGGCCCTAGGTTTGCTAGAGGGAGCTGTACTGTCTCAGTAACTTGGTTTTGCCATCAAAGGAGGAGGGGACAGGTGGTGACGAGCTGATTGGGCTGGTTGACCCTTCGGCGCGAGAATCTTCCGACCGAGAACCGTACGTGCGAAGAGGGAGAAAGCGACGAACCGACTGGGAAGGACAGCAACGAGAGCGTGTACGAAGCGGAGCGGGTCGAGTTTGGTCGTGCTAGGACTGGCCACAGCGGCACCGGAGCAGCGGAACCGGAGCACGCGGACGGCATCGAACCGTGGCGCACAGACAAACATCTCTTGTATTGTCAATTATTTTTCCGTTTTTTTTTCGTGAATACAGGTGTTGTGTGTGTGTGATGACGTCACTGGTTTTGTAGAGCGCGGATAACCCGGGTGCCTCAATTGTGTACCTGCATTGTGGAAGACCCCTTCAGTGTGGAACGATTCCTAGTCAGTGTCAATGTTGATGTTTACACTGCTGTGCCTAACACAGATGATCTGAATAGATTCGGGTGATTGTCAATTGCAATGATGGCTTTGGTTGGGCGTTCCGCTTCATTGTATTATGTCCACGGGCTCATTCTGACAGCACTTCAGACAGCAGCTCCATGCCCCGAGCTTGTGTACCATGCACCATGGTGTTTTTATTGTACAGACAGCACTTCAGACAGCAGCTCCATGCCCCGAGCTTGTGTACCATGCACCATGGTGTTTTTATTGTACAGACAGCACTTCAGACAGCAGCTCCATGCCCCGAGCTTGTGTACCATGCACCATGGTGTTTTTATTGTACAGACAGCACTTCAGACAGCAGTACGCTGTAGTCGACAAACATTCATTTTGGTTAAATGCGGGACAAGGGGGGTGATGCTGCTGCTGTAGTCGAATCGTAGTGTTGTTGTTTGTTGTTTTTCTCCCATCATTGGACTCTGTCGTCTGTCCCTCTGGCCCCTATCCTCCACTTCTACTAGCTAGACGACCCAACCGGGGTCACATAGGAGGGCGGGGTTGGACCCCCTCCTGCGGTTCATGCCTGAGGTATTTTTATCGCGAGAAGGGTACAGCAATCCCTTCCCTCGCGACTTACGAAGTCGATTATGGTTTACTAACAAAATGAGCTTTGCAGCGCGTCGCTTTCATCCTAGACCAGGATTTATGTAGTGAGAAAAAAACTTTCTCTGCCGGGACTCGAACCCATGACCTGGCCCTTAGCAGGCTGTGAGGCTACCCACTAGACCACCGGGGCGACCGGTGTGTGGGCGTGTAGTTCAGTAGTGAGCACGCAAACGTGCTGCAGGGATTGCAGGTGTACCTCCTCGGGCTTGCGTACGCTTTCCTTGCTAATAGTGTGTGTGTGTTCTTCAGATCTTCTGATGGCTCTAGCATTTTTGTGACCACGGACCGAGTCTTTGCTAGATTTTGGGATTATTAGCAACTGACACGAGTTAATGTGAAAGACAACAACAACAACAACAACAACAACATGTACTGCTGTAGTTGCTATCGGGAGAAGGATTCAGCCGTACAATATGTTCCCCCCGTCGATCGTCAAGTCGAATGTGAAAAATTCCCCCACCAAAACTAACTATACTTCTACGTCCATTTCCGCCGAACCTGCAACTTTTTTCTACTTCAGAGAGACCGGATTTTCACGGCCTGCTAATTACTTCTATGCACTACATAGTCAAATTAGGGACCGCCTTGGCGGGAAAACAAGCATTTTGAGGAAATAGAACAAGGAGGGGGACTGGGACTGGTAATAAGGAAGTTCGGGAGGTTACACTTGTTTTTTTCTCACTAAATCCTGGCCTAGGACGAACGCGACGCGCTGCAAAGCTCGTTTGTTAGTAAACCATAATCGACTTCGAAGTCGCGAGGGAAGGGATTGCTGTACCCTTCTCGCGATAAAAATACCTCAGGCATGAACCGCAGGAGGGGGTCCAACCCCCCCTTCCAATGTGACCCCGGTTGGGTCGTCTAGCTAGTAGAAGTGGAGGATAGGGGCCAGAGGGGCAGACGACAGAGTCCAATGATGGGAGAAAAACAAACAAAAAAAACTGTTGTAAGGGCGACCGGTTCCAAAGTGGGACAGAAAAAAAGAGGGGATCGCTGCCCCGTGATGCACCTAAGCGTCCTCCACCACGATGTCTTTACACCTATAATTAGTATTACTACAGCAGTACTATTATAATAACACTAATGATACCGTATGTATCGCGGGGATAGAAGAAAACATTCGTTGCACTAATGCTATTCGCTAAAGGCTGACCATTTGACTACTACGTGCACAGTCATCGGATGACTGTGCACGCAGTCAAATGTTCAGCCTTATCGAATAAAAGATACACTCTCGGCTCGTAGCCAATCCCAGTGGATCTGATAGGGTGTAGTGATCTCCGGGGACGGACCCCTCGCCACAAGATGCTGCTATTAGCCGATAATGGTGCCTTGAAAGCGATCCACTGGGATTTGAACCCGAGCGTGAGTCCTTTATGCGATAAATGCTGACCATTTGACTACTACGTGCACAGTCATCACGCACGGGTTCGAATCCCAGTGGATCGCTTTCAAGGCACCATTATCGGCTAATAGCAGCATCTTGTGGCGAGGGGTCCGTCCCCGGAGATCACTACACCCTATCAGATCCACTGGGATTGGCTACGAGCCGAGAGTGTATCTTTTATTCTTTTATTTTATGACTACGTGCACAGTCATCACGCACGGGTTCAAATCCCAGTGGATCGCTTTCAAGGCACCATTATCGGCTAATAGCAGCATCTTGTGGCGAGGGGTCCGTCCCCGGAGATCACTACACCCTATCAGATCCACTGGGATTGGCTACGAGCCGAGAGTGTATCTTTTATTCGCTAAAGGCTGACCATTTGACTACGTGCACAGTCATCCGATGACTGTGCACGCAGTCAAATGGTCAGCCTTATCGAATAAATGCAGCACCACAGCTCTCTGGGTGAAAGAACGAGAGCCCGCCAACTCCGGGCCAACTCATCGGGCTGTTTGGTGTGGGGTATCTGGATGCCGCATGGGCTGTAAAATTTATGTTTCATATAATGGGAATTTCGGTTCTGAGGTGGCAACCGATGAGGCCTGCCCGCCTCGATCAAGGTAATCCAACAGCTATGTAGCTTCCCATTCAGTTTCGCCACAACAGGTTCGTGGCGGACTTTTCTCTTTCACATCCCCACCCACACCCAGTCTATATATCTCCGCATCCAGCTGTCTCCGTCCTGCCTCTCTGACCAGCTCAATCAAATACTGAGGACCGTTTGTTTGGTCAGCTTGCAAAAAGGTTGAACAAGGTGGTTGCTGGCTTCGGCCGTGTAACTAACCAACAAACTTTCGATCCGACGAGCTGTTGCTGCCGACTTACGGGTGCCGCGTCGTCGATCGTCCACGGAGCCGAGCCCAGCATGCCCTCGAAAGCCCCGCCCCCGCCGGGAGACCTCACTCCTCCCTTCTTTCCCTGTTCCGTAGATCTCGCCCATGGCGAAGAGAGCAGGAAGGATGCGATATTCTTCAACGTGCACGACGACGCGTCGACCGCAACTGCCGCAGCCGGAGGAGGAGGAGAGGTAACTTTGCCCAACGACCCGACCGCCGCCGTACTCGAACGAATCCAAGGGGCCCAGGTCAATATCGAAGCGCCGTAGTGGTGGGCTTCTGCGACGTCGCGGAGCCAGGGGGTGCTCAGGAGGCCGACGCTTTCGGGAGACGGCTGGGCGGCGCCGGCAGCGAGGCAGGTCCGCGGGGTATTACCATCGCCGGCGGATGCCGCCACCGCCGTTGCCGTCACTGCCGTCAGCAATGTCGCCGCTCGAAGCAAGGCCATGGTGGCAGAGGATGAGATACGTACAGCGCAAATTGACGCCCTATCTGGCGAAAGGGAGTGCGTGAGCACGGCAGTATTAGGAGGTTCGAAAGTGGAGTGGGTGTGAGCTGTGGAGAGGCGAACGGAAAAATTCATCGTCATCTTCCCTTCTCGTTCTCTGATTTGAATTTTCCCCGCATTTTGTTTTTGAAAAAAAAATATAATAGCGAAGGATCACGGCCAAAAACACACCATGTACCTACCGCTGTCACCTTGACTAAATATCGAGAACACCTTTTTAATTATACGAGTACTGGTCTAACTGACGCGAACGGCTTACAAGTGCACAGGAGTGATAGACCACCACGTTTGTTAATCACCATTTTTTTTTCCGAACCCCGCGCCCCGTTCGTTCATCAGCAGGTTGTTCGAACGCATCAAAATAATACGAAAACTTGATCTCCTATTTTTGATATCCCAACATCCCAACTTGCTCTCCTCTCCCGTCTGGGTTACAATGGAGGTGTCCTCTTTTAGTCGCACAGCCGCAGTGGGAGAGTAAGCGTCGACGGTGACGGTGCGCGCCGTGAGCTATGTACTTGCGCCTGTGAGCACTCCGCTTTCTTTTTTTGTGCATAACTGCTGTTGCTGCGACGCAATAGCCGTGAGGTTTACTTCCTCTGTCTCGACACTAGACACCCCGAGTACAGCGGCAGCAACAGCACAGAAATGCGGGCGAGAGACGCCGGAGTGTCAGTCGTGGTCGTGGTCGCGGGCTTCCTTGCATTGCAGGGCACGCCTGATGTCGACATTCAGCTACGCTGGTAAGTCGGTGCCCATGTACACTACCCCGTTATGCGCTGCCCGTGCTCCCTTGGTACACACTGCTGTAGACACGAACGGTGTGCCTTATGGATGAGAGAGCGAAAGAGAGCCAGTCCCAACAACCTGTAATTGTGTGCAAAATTGCTTTCCCTCTTGTGGCAGTTGCAGCAGCTGCACACACCCAGCAAACTCACCTTCGTGTCGGGCCAGCTCATGGCGTACATCGTTTCCTTGTGTGTGAAGAGCTGATCTTCCTGATGTCGTTGCAGCGTGCTCATTTTCACGAGTAGTCGTTGTGTTGTCAATTTCCTACTCCTTATCGTTACCGTCCGTGAGATAAGCGTGTCTTTGATCGTATGCGAAGTAGCGTTGACCGCGGTACATATTGGCTGACGACCGTGTATATGCCTGTGTGAAACTTAACCACCACCGACCGCGCTTGCAGCTTGCCAATGAAAATACCTCGGGTTTATCGTTTGATTAAACGAGAAGATAACCCTTTTCTAGTCCGCGAGCTCCCCGTGAAGAAGGGTACCCGTTGCTTGCGTGTTTTATGTGGCATGTCTTTTGAAGCAGCATTGACCCATCAACCGGCTGATCCAAGGTATGTGCAGGTGCCGTCGCCTGTAGTGTGCATGGGCGTGGAGGGTTTCGAGGCTTTCGTCTCGAAGAAGAAAGTTAGCTTGTGCCGAACAAGAAATAAACAGGAACATCAACATCAAGCCCTGGACGAAAGAGTTTGCACATGGCCTTTACCAATGCCATTGTTCTTTCTTTTGTTTTGCCTGCCTTTTGCAGATCCCCCCCCCCCCCTCGCCCGGATGCCAACGCCGCGTGTGCCCCCCGAGGTAGGATGGTGGGGGAGCGCCCGCTCCCGGTAGAGGGCGGCCTTCCGGTCCCGTTGCCGCTCGTGACCGACCTGGATGGGGACGGCAAGAACGAGGTGGTGGTGCTAGCAAACGGCGGGATGCTGATCCGAGTGCTGTCGGTGCCGGTGGCATCGGGAGAGACACTGGTAAGATATGTGGTGAGGGCCACTACCCCCTTCCCCACGGGTCCTCACTACCCTCTTAGACCTCCGCGGCCTAGGTGATCCCAATTGAAAACACGAGCAAGGGCCACGGCAGACCAGAAGACCATGATGACGATGATGATGGGAGGGCGGTAAATGTGTTTTATTTCTACTGCTATCCACGACTGCTGCGACTGGCTCCCCGCTGTTTTCTTGGATACACCGTGTGCAGCAGCACTATGTAGTATGTACACAGGGACCATTGAGGAACATCGAACAGGAAACGAAAAGGCAAGGCGCACACGCGGCTCGCCTCGTGCAACAGACTCCGGGCGAACACCCCCCCCCCCTCCACACACACACACACTTCCGTCCCGCGTAGGTCACAGCACGTTCCTTCTGCGCATAGATCCGTGTTCGAGCCCATCCATCGCGTATGAAGCTTGGGACCCCTTTTCTGTCATCGATCTGCGCGCTGAGCACAACGACATCGCGCCCACAACAGGTGGACCCGTGGATAATCCACGCGACGGAGTTGAGACCAGCTCGACTGCTCGGGCGCGACGAGCGCGCGGTGGCCATGGCGGCGGGGTACCTCGAACCGCCCGTCAACGCCCGGGACCCAGGAAGGTAGGCGAGCTAGATACTCGTACGATGATGTGAATGGAGATGCTGTATTACATGGACGTGCTTGTATTGTTCGGAAGCACGCGCGTTTCTGGTTTCGACCACCACTAGCGGCAATTTCTGCCCCGAGACCAGGATGCCCAGGTGCTACCGGCAGAATTCGTTCCGCTCGTTTTTCGGAACGCATTCGAGGGATGTTTCGATGTAACCAGCGGTATTGACGTGCTGTACCACGCCCACAGAAATGTTCCTACCCGACGAATACACAACAGACAGAGGACCGGACTGCTGTATACGTACGTCCAGGTTTTCGACCGTTTTGCCCGCCCGTCTCGTGTTTCCCGGGAGCGGGGAGAGACATTGTTAATCTCTACCATTTCATTCCACCGCCCCCAGCTCAAGACAGCAGCAGGCGCAGCAGCGGCAGCAGCAGCGTATTGTGGTCGTTGGGGAGGACTCGAGCGTTACCTGCTTCAACCACCAGCTGGGCAGGCTGTGGACGACCTCGCTAGCGCACGACGGATCATCATCAGGCGAGGGCGGGTCGTTCGTCATTGACCAGGTTGGTGTGCCCTCTCTCCCTGTTGTTACTGTTGTCTCTAGTTCGACTGGGGCAGCCAATACGCCGCGCTCTACTTTGATCATTCCTCTACCGACTCCACTATGCTTAAAGGAGTACATGTGTTTTGGTGGAATTTTTTTCCATCTACATGTTTGCAAGCACTCGGGAGCAAGACCATTCGCAAAAAGTGTAACAGCAGCGCTCGCTTTTTGAGCTCGCGTCTCAATTACTCGGGGCAGTAAACAACGGCCCGTACCGGTACCTCGCAACAAGGCCAGCAAGCCGAAGAAGAGGAAGTGTCTGGGGAACGCTGTCGCTACTGGTGTAGCCGTTGCTGCCACCGCTGCGCAACTCTAGAACACATGAACCCCGCCGGGCAAAACAAATTCGCACTTTCCGACCGGATACGATATGTGTTCACGGTTTTCGTTTCAACAGGTGGCGATTACGGTGGCGCACTCCGTGCGCAAGCTGGACGATCGAGGTCGCCCGAAACCAGGCACGGCCGAGGGTCTGATCGTTGTGGGGATCAGCATGCGACATCGAGACGGGCGCTTTCATCACAGCAGGGTGGGTGAGAGGAGGGGGGGG